ACGTGGTTTGGAGGCTCAATAAGCATCTAACTAAACAGATTTACATACATATGTCTCATTAATGCAGCCTACTGGGGCATTTCAGCTGTTTTTGTCACGTCCACTGGTGCTGAGGGCATCGGCATGTGTGAGCGCGCCTACACACCAAGAACTGAGACCATTAAAGGGAGACTTTCCAAGTGGCTGCTAGTTTGTTTAGGCAAAAGAAACCTTCAATAAGCCTAAAGAAACATTACATAAGAAAACATAAATAAAAAAAGAACACAAAAAAGAAATAACTTTTATACAGTCTTATGTTTACATTTATCAATGCTGCTTACTTTTTTTCACTGCTGCACTTTAAAAAATGGAAATGTCTTAAGAGCTGTACTGAACGTGATTTATATTTGTATACACTCTGTTAATACAAAATGACAAAGTCAGTCTACGTCTAAAAATACTTGAATGAAAGGAAGCATAGAAGTACTGAAGATGTTTGCACATCATTGTAAATCTTATTCACTGTTGGCAGCTGTTTATAAAGGTGGGAATGCAACGTCATTCTGATCACTGAAGATGGATGGCCGAGTTGAAATTTGAAAAATTCTAATTCCTAAATTCTGAAAAGGATTTGCATTTTATTTGATAAATTCACTTTTCGTTACTAAAATGATCAGAAAAGCAACGTTTGTTTTAAAGCTATTTGATGCTATCTGCATCAAATTCATGTAATCTGCTTTGCTTTCCTCCAATAACACGTCGAAAAAAATGTTGTTAATCCCTTTGTGAGAGGGGGGATTTTATGCATCTGCTTATATTCTAATGAAAGGAGGGACCATTTTTATGTAAAAATGTTTTTTATGCCATTAATTGGGGACAGTATTACGTTATACACATAATATTTAAAAAAAAAAACATCTCAGATCCTACATCAGGGCTCTCTTTGCATCTCATTCTGCGTAAAATTCTCCGGGAACAACTCCCAGTAATTCCTAAACTGATCATCACAGCCCGTGATGTCATACTGAAATTTTCTCATGTAGAGGATCAGAGTGAGCTCGGTCAGCCATGCCTCTAACCTGAGGCACTTTATCTGGGTTCCATGACTTCAAAACAACTTTCTTGGCTATTATCATTCCATACATAAACACCCTCTCCATAAAGGCGCAGCAAGTCAAAAGTGAAGGAAAATACCCAAAATCAGTCGATCAAGATCAAACACAATTTTATATGTTTCAGAAACTCAGTTAAAACTGTCAAACCTATATTGGGAGAGCTTTGTGCAGAATAAATGAGACGGAAGGATGGATGAACTTGAACTGAATATGCTGATCTCTCAAATTAATGGAGCAAATTCTGCTCAAGCTCAATTCTCAATATTAATTCTCAATATTTTCTTCCCATACAAGCTGAGGGGAGCTTGTGGGGGACTTGGATTTCTCTTAAAAAATGTCAACAAATCTGTAAATATCTGAAAAAGTGACATCAGGACAGGAAAAAAATGTCCTTCAATGCCGTAAATGACAAAAATATTTACTTAATATAAAGTTTTTGCAAAGTATTAATACGTTTTTGCATTTTAGTGTTAAAGGATGAATCTGTGAGTGAAGAGTGAATGTATGTTTACCATCCACTGGAGCATAGACCAGAATATCTGAAAGCTGAAAATAGCACCATTTCTTTTGCATTTGAGGGGAAATTTTTGCTTGTAGTTTACAAATTGTGCCATTAGAGATCGCAAAACTGTACATTAATGCAAAATGTAATCTTCAGTGATACAAACTTAACAGTTCAATAGAAAAGTACTTAAATAAACTGTTTTATTTGTTTTCAAGATAAATGTTCATCAAAATAAATAAATATATCGTTGGTGTGGGAAACCAGAGTAAATTCAAAATACAGTTTCCAAATGAAAGAATATATATTGAAACTCAACTAGCCTTACGGCTACAGTGGTTAAGCACATTGTTTGGCTTCAATACTCACATCTGATTACTAATTAATACAATTCAAATAAATGCCTGGAAAACAGGCCCATCTCCAACATCTATAAACAAAGGTGTTGATGGCAGCAGCACAGCTGATATTTATCTCCAGAATTGAGTCTCAGCCAAACGGGAACATAACAAATGAAGCTACTATGAGGGGAAAAAGCAGAGAGAGCAGAACGTTAGAGATTGAATTAATAAATTCTTCAGAGTGGGAGAATTGAGATAACATGAAGCAGAATGACGAAAAAAAGGGTCCCTATCTCCTCCAGCAGTCTAAGCCTATAGCAGCATAACTATAGATAACCAGGATAACCTGAGCCACTCTAACTAAAAGCTTTATCAAAATGAAAGATGTAAGCCTACCCTTAAGAGTAGACAGGGTGTCTGCTTCATGGACTAAAACTGGTTTGTTCCACAGAAGAGGAGCCTGATAACTAAAATATCTGCCTCCCATTTTTCTTTAACAAATTCTAGGAACCACTAGTAAACCTGCAGATTGAGAGCAAAGTGCTCTGTTAGGAACATAAGTATTGTCAAAGTCTTAAAATATTTTATCTTCTTTTCAGAAGATTCCACTCAGCATAAGTGCAAATAATCTAACAGTGCAGTAAAGAGTAAGAATCTTACAGAATCTGCTCTTGTTTGGTATATCAATCTCAAGTAAAGATAGGGATTACTTTTTGGCTGAAAATAAGATTGGACACTTCTTGTGAGTTGGACACTTCTTGCATTGTTGGACCAAACACATACATATAACCTGTATGACAACATGAATTAAGCCAAAATATCCTGTTAAGATGGAGCTGTAGAGCAGAACGCTTCAGGGGGGGAAATCTGTTGAGATGAAAACTTAATAGATGTGAGCTCCACAGACCACGTCGTCATGGAAGAATGGAAAGAATATAGCCATTGTTGGTAATGGTCAGATGAGACTAAAATCTGTTCCACTGAACAGCTTTCGATAAAGAAAAGAACATGGAAAATAAAAAAAGGAAAATCCAACGGGACATAAACCTCTTTGCTGAGACATTAATGACAATTTTAGGTTCCTCCTTACATAAGAGAACTCTCCCTCACCCCTCAAACACACAGGTTAAACAGACCTTGAGTTGAGCCCAACACTGGAAAGCAGAGCAGCTGAGAAAGGACCTCGTTACCCACAGTGATCACTGAAGAGAAGAGGCCCCACCCACAACCCCCATTTTTCTCAGATAACAGCCCCGTTGTTGGATGCAGGAGCTGAACAAAGGCGACCCTGTCCAATTCCTCTACCTTTCTGTATCTGTTTCCTCTGTGGTCAGCCAACAGGCATCTCAAACCCAAAGATACCTGAACCCCTCCTTCTGCCTGGCTCCCTTTCTGTCGCTCTGTCCTCAGCTGTCCCCTCCCTGCAAACAATTCTGAGGACACAGAGAGGGTGGATTAGGGAAACTGTATAGCAAGACCATTTAGTGGGGATCAAGAACAATTTGGCAATGATAAAACATCAGAAAAAAAAGTAAGAGCTTTGTTGAACTGCTCTAAAAGAAGATGTCCTTACCTTCTTAGTCTTTAATCTGACACCCTTTTTTTTTACTGGTGTCTTCCTTGAAAATATTGCATTTACTTTTTCGGTCCTTTTTACTCTGACACCTAAAAAAATGTAAAAGCTTTTTATGATGCATCTAATTAGTAAATTATAAATTTCAGGGAACACAACAGATGGGTAAGAAAGAAAGTTATGTGCACATCAGGGTGTAGGTCATACCACAGATTACCAACCTGTAGCATCTCATAGACTATTATTCAATCTACCTTTACCAAAACATTTGAATTACTCAGATTAGCAAGCCATAAGGGGCTGCGGAACTGAAGGCTTTGGTGGGGGGAATATGATGGCGGGGAAACACTCCACCAATCAAGCCTTCTTGAAAGAGGGTTAAAATATAGTCATGTTGGAACAATGGTGAGATTAAATTGAAATGAAACCTTCAGACTTACAAATTCAATATTTGTAGTGCAAAGGTCACAAAGCACATCACCCTGAGAACAGCTTTACCTCTGTGAGACATGGCAGCGGCATCATGATGCTGTGGGGAACTTGGCCAGAGCAGATAGAGATGGAACTAATGATGCATTCAGTAGTCGCAATTTCCGACCTCCAAGTAAGAAATGTCAATTGGAACACTTCAGAGAGTCAGAAAGTTAGAAAAAGCGCAACCATAACAGACGTCCGCATTCAAGATGGCTGCCACACACATCAACAGTAGTTGAACTTCCCTGCTTTTACTGTTCTTAGCTTTTCTTTAGTATTTATCTAACTGTTACTTAGTCGTACACATTCCACTTTTCAGGGTTGATAACACCAAAGGTTTATGGACAACATACCGAGTAGAACTGTGTTTCTGTCATTATTATGGTTCTAACAGTGATAGTAGTAGCAATATACGAACAATGGAGAATACGAGCGTCAATTTTCTATTTTATTCATACAAGGTGATAAGATGGCCCCAAAGATTAAAACCAAATCTACAATAGACTAGTTTAGATCAAAGCACGTTAATTTTAGAATGAGAACCTAGACTTGAACATCTATATTCAGGGACTCTCTACATTCAGTCTGGCTGACCTTTAGCTTTCTTTCAAGGAAGAAGATCATTGACATGTGTACTACTTTGTGTTGGTCTATGGCAGGCATCCCCAAAGTCGGTCCTGGAGGGCCGCTGTCCTGCAGGTTTTAGAGGTTTCCCTTCTTTAGCACAGCTTAGTATGATGATTGCAGTTCAGCAAAAGCTTGTTAATAAGCTTTCAATTAGAATTGGCTTTGCTGGTGCGAGGAAACCTCTAAAACCTGCAGGACAGCAGCCCTCGAGGACCAACTTTGGGGTTTCCTGGTCTATGGCATCAAATGCACATAAAATACTTTGTAGTTTGAGGTAGTATAGAAATATCTGAAAGAAAAAACTTGAATCCTTTAGTAAAGGATTCAAACCTATCAAAAAAGTTCTCATTAAATACGTTTGTTTTTCCTTTTCTGTCTTTATCTGACAGGATGGTGTTATATCAGTGAAGGATATCGACCTGGTGATGTCAGAGGGACTGGGAATGCGTTACGCCTTTATAGGTCCCATGGAAACGATGCATCTGAACGCCCCTGAAGGTAATGTTTGCCTCTTTAGGTTCAGATGTAATGTGTGATTAAGCATTGCTGTTGTTTTTTTAATTCCCTATGTTTCATGTATTTAAACTGGGTTTTCAAACTTGGTAACAAATATAGACCACAGCTTTTGACTAGGAATTCATGTAACATCGTTGACATGACCCACATGTATACACAGTCCCATGCTGTGATGGTGCGGCGTACGCATCACAATGCGATCGAAACCTCATGCCGATGGAGAATATCAAAGGGGAGTGTGAAACTCCGAGAGTATCCCTGACTGACTCCACACATACACACAGATAAAGTACAGTCTGGCTGAACAAAGCCACCTTTTGATGAGAAGCTCAATGCCCTCCCTCACACCAGTAATCTAAAACTCACACAGCTCTCTTCACAGCCTTCAAACCAGGTGCCAACTCTTCGTGTTGCTACAGTACTGGACGGATTTTTTTTCTCTTTTCAGGAAGCAGTAGTCTGATCTTGTTCTCAAAAGATTGTTTGGACCGAGTCCTGTTCCGTCTTTCAAGTCCTCAGATCTTTCCAAACAGATACCTTACTGCTCAGGCTCTCTGTCTCTCCTGCCTTACCTGAGTGCTTTTGTAAATAATTAACCCACACAGCTCAACATTGTTCTTTAAGGGAAAAAGCCTCTAAAAGGTCCTGATTATAGTTCTTAAGGAAGTCTCCAAACTTCTTTCAAAACACAAAGCCAGCATGACCCGGTTTTCCTACAGGTCTAAGGCTGCACAGAAGCAGCTGCATAAGACGAAAGGCCTGATAAAGGGTTAGCAAAGAGCTGCCAAGGTATGGAGAAGAGAACATTGTGATCACAGTTAGCTCCCATCTGATACAGTCTATGGGGAAAAAGCAACAGTGTTTTTAGAAATGACATTTCAGAGTTTAAAACACAACAGAACAAAATGTCACGCTGTCTAAAGTGGTGCACAATCACTAAGGGAAGGAAAGTTCTGCATGTTTCGCTGATTGAATGCGTGGCAGAAAAAACTTTTTGGATCATTTCTCTGTCAGGCTTATTCATGCCCCTAAAAGTCCTGAACAAATAGCTTAGGTTTTGTTTGATTGGATCAAGAGCAATTTTTGGACATCAGTTTTTTTATGTTGTAGCAGTGGTTCACATTTTGATATTGGTCAGGGCTTTGACTAGGCCATTTTGAAATATAAACAGGCTTTGATCCGTATATATTGTTCTGGTTTGACTTTTAGTGCTATCTTTTCCAGTTAACCTGTTTTGCTGACAAAACGTCCTTCCCATGGTATGATGCTGCCACTGTAGTGTTGATGCTTTTAGATTAGCATGCAGGGTTATCTTTTTTCTATGCCTTGTATTTTGCATTTCAGCCATAAAGGTGAATTTTAGGTTTGATTTGCTGTGTTCCTACATATCAATAACATCCAACAAGAATTGTTATGGTTGTCTTTTAAAACTGTTTTTTTGTTGTTGTTTTTTTTGCCTGTGTAAATTGTCCAATAATCTAAACTATATTTCTTTTAAACATTCAGAGGGCCCATGTTCTTTTTGGCTGCTTCTGCTATAAATGCTCTCCTTTCCCAGTAGAATCATTTTGGTGGATGTTCCTTTCATATAAAATTGCTCAAATTGAATTGAGGATAAGTAAATATCCTTTTCATAAAATAAGCAGTTTTATTTAAAACACGTGCACATAAACTACTTTCTACAATGCTCTTCTAAACTGTTATGCATGTTGATTCAAAACCAAGAGGCCCACACTGCAAAAACAATATAGATATAAGTTAAAATGTCTTAAATTAAGTGTACAGTATTTCCCCTTCATTTGAGCAAGTAAGTAAGATGATTTTGTCCCGAAACGAGGACAGATGGACCCAGTATTCAAGGAGAGAAAGTCAGGAGGAAAGTTCGAAACATTTATTAAATGAACAACAAAACTAAAAGGGGAGCTGCTAGGATCTGTGGCATGCGGCGACTGCAGGTGGGGGGCGGGGCACCGCCCAATCACAGACACTCTGTTGTGGGAGAAACACAGGTAAGTGACCACGATCATCTGACTGAAGATGATTATCTGAGTTGGTCACTTACCTGGTTTAACAGTCCAGTCCAAGAATGTCCCCAGTGCTGCAGTTCCAAAGGTCTTGCTGGAAGCCGATCCTGGTCAGGGATTCAGAACGGAGAGGAACAGATAGAACAGGCAGGATCCAGGCTTCCAGGCATCCTAGAGCTCCCAGGCGGATTCAGAGACTGACAGAGTCCAGAAGCGTGACCACTTGGTCACGCACAGAAGCAGACAGGATCAGGTGCAGATGGGCAGGCTCAGTGGAAGAGGGTAGCAGAGACAGGACGTGGAACCAGAACTTGATGCAGGACCTTTAAACAGATCCTCCTTAGAGCCAGGCTAACTTGGATAAAAACTGAACCTCCCCGTGTAAAGACCCAAAAACCCAGAGGACTCAGCGGGGGAGGAACAGTGGACGAGCAGGAGACGAGACAGACACAAAAACCTCTTTCCACTGGCTGCCAGGATCCAGTACATGAACCATGAAATAAAACAGAACAGACAGACTAGCAGAAAAGCAACTAATGATCTGCCCCCGAATGCTCAGGCTGAACAGAATATAACCCAGTGGAAACAGGTGAGAGGAATAAATGATAATGCAATCGTTTTTTTTCTTATTTTAAATCTAAATTGTCTTGTTCCATTTGGCAAAGTGTCTCACTTACCTCGTCAATTCAAGAAACAAAATGACTTATTTAGATTGTGGTTTTTTTTTTTGTTTTTTTTAATATTTAGATTTAAATGTTTTGCAGTGCACATTACATCGAATGCATGAGTGCATGCTTCTTTTGACGCTTATGATTTGCTGGCTACTTTTCATGAAATCCAGCCCCTTCAGACAGTATCGTTTCCTTCCAGTGGTGGCTAGTAAAAGTTACGAGAATAAAGTATATATTAATATTAAGAGATAAAGTCCTAAAATTGCGAGAAACAAGTTGTATTTTATGACAACTCCTACAAGAAGCACTTTCTTTACTAAAATGAGGAATGTTGAGCATCATGTGAAGTTATACTTTGGCTCTAGTTTGACAAATAAGCTAATCTTTTAGCACCGGCAAGTGGAATCAGGCTGCTGTTTGGTGGAGCTGGTCTGNTGCCCTCATTTGCTGGCCGGAGCTCGAAGCTTTCTTTCTGAAACAGGTTGTTATATGATGACTTCATTCTCGTAATGTTATGACTTTCTTCCCGTGATGTTACGACTTTATTCTCGCAATAGAAGAAAATAAAATCTCTAGCCTGGCCCTAATACTCTGTTGTACTTTTTAGAAGAAACTCAGTTTGTTTTCACATCTATTCTTTCTTGCTGCATTGTTAGAGCTTAATAGAGCAAATTCCCTTTCTTCTTCTTATAAACAAAATAAAAACTGTTGCAGAAATCTGCTGCCGGTGTTCTGTCGGATGAGAAAACCCCATCAGACCAGCATACCCGTAGTCAATACGAATGCACAAGACATCAGATTTGCGTTTATTTGTACGAAAAATAGACTTTAAACTACCTCAACGTGTCCCTTTAGTCATTTACAAAAAAAAACTATTTAAGGTGAGATCGCCATGCGCTTCAAAAAAGCACCCAAAAGTCAGTCATTAAATAGTTTTTTTTTGTACATGACTAAAAAGAAACACGCCAGTTGAGGTAGTTTAAAAGTTTATTTTTTTATTAAAAGGATTAACTAAAGGGACTAATGGGTATTGACTATGGGTATTCTGGTCTGACCGGGTATCCTCATCTGACTGAACACAGAGTCAGACATTTTCATTCACTTATCAAACCACAAAAAAAGGTGTAATTGGATAGAGATTAACAATCGTTCTGCATTTTACTGGTGCTGCGTTCTCTCCTCTCACCTGTGTGAGATGTTTAGCAGACTGTAGATGGTACTGATCTCACTGCAGTGCTATGTGTAGGGAGTCCTGTTTGGAGCACATTGCAAACAGTCAGGGTTCAGCATAAGAACAATATGAGACATAAATTAATGCAGCTCTTTAATCTTACTGTTTTCATATTGTAGAAATAAACCTTTAGCTACAAAGGAGCAATAACTTCAGAGATGATCTATGTCAAAACATAAAACTTTAACATCTATTGTGAAACCGAGTGCTTGTGGCTGCTTGAGGTCATCAGGGAACTGGTGTGAAGCAGTTTGGATGCTTCTCTTTTTGTCTCCAGTTTTTCCTTCAGGGTTTTTTTTCTCTCCAATATTTCAGTTAGTCCTGTCCTACAGCGTTCATTATCAGAGGAATGTAAACAGACAGCACCGTCCGCCCTCCTATCGATACTTTTTGACCTGATTGTTGTTGCTCCAAAGCAAGTAGTGTCTAAGAGATCCTGCAGCTCGGAAGAGGTTTAGGCAAAAGTGCTGAAATATTTCACTTTATCTGTTCTGTTTGCGCCTTTTTTTTTTTTTTAAACAATTAAAATAAATGTGTACAGCAGTTCAGTTTTTTGTCATTTTGAGTTTAAAAGCCCTGTACATTATTTTTTCGTGAAACGTATAACTAATTTTTCAGCTTCAGGAGAATAGATGCACGATCCACACCTATTAATATGTAACCGTTTGTTTGATCACGCCTTAAATCGTTTATTAGCCAAATGTGTCCTGCTTTCAACATAATTTAATCATTAAAGATTAATAAATAAGCAAATTGCTCCATTAAATCTTTCTAAAGGTTAAAATAAGATGGATGGAGACTTTAGAGTTATTAATAAGTCATTTAACATTAACTTTTGACTGACGGGGCCTTTTTTTTTTTTTTTTTTGCATAAGTGGGGTTTATTTTCTGTAAAATCAGCTAGAAGCAACAGCCCGGCTTCAAACACAGAGAAGAAGGAGAATTTTCTTAAAATAATCAAATCAGTGAATTAAGAATGTAAAAATCAATCTCAGCAGGAATGCATTGCTCTCACTTCTTCAGCAGAGAAATTAAACAGCAACTGCATAAACACAAGAGGAGAGCCAAGTTTGGCGCCTCAAAAGCAAAGGGAACTTTTTTTGATGACGGGGGTTTAGATTTTGTACCGAGAAGAAGGATAGTTTGGAAGAACGAAGAAGGAATCAATCTTTATCAAAAGAGATAATGGACCTGAGGAGGAGGGCTGTGGTTTTAGCTTCCCAGCATGCTCAACAAGTGGTGTCATCAGGTGACTAAAAAAATCGAATTTGCACAAAACAATAGATGCTATTTACCCAGAGGGGGGAGGACAGGTCAATGATTTGGAACTTAAAGAGGAAGGACGTCCGTATGGGGGGGAAAAAATTAAAAATTTGTCGTTGTAGCTGAAAGCCTCCAGAATGGACAAAGAATCCTGGATAGATTTTGAAATATCTACAAAAAAAAATGGAACTAAAGTCTATTGTAGTCACCATGACACATATGAAGAGGAATCTGCACGGCCGTGTTTCTAAAGTACCGTGTGATTCACTGCTTTTTAAAAGCAGATTTTTTTTTCTCCAGTATTTTCACACCTTAATAGTCACATGTTAGTAACATAGCTCATGTGTATATCATGGATATTCACTGTGATAAACCAACACTCCTTATGAAAAGGAGGTAGATCATAAAAATGTGAAGAGTGTAAATGTGTTTCAGCCTTGGGTCAACATTTAGAGCCACCTTTCACTCCAATCACAGTTCACTTTCTCTACCAGCTTTTCACACAAGACACTTTTACTACAAAGTAGCTGAAGCTCCATCAGTTCAGGTTTTTCCCTTGTATTCTATTGGATTCAAATAAAAAAAGTACCGGCTTTGATCTAAACCCTTTTATTTTGCTTGTAGCCATATGTTTATGGTTGTTCTCCTGCTTGATGGATCATTCAGCCTCTGTCTCAGTCATCATTACTCTGTACCTGACTCCCGTCTCCGGTCCTTAAACTCAGCACAGCATGAAGCTGTTGCCACCATGGCTGCACTGCAAAAAAATATCTATGTCATACATTTAAACGGGTATATAAGATGATCTTCCAAATCAATATTAAAATAGTTGTTGTTTTCGAGTTTAAATGTGGAAAAATCTTATTCCATTATCACATTGTCTTTTCTGACCAAATCAAATTCATTTCTTTAAAGAAACTTTCTTCTTACCCTTACTTATCTCTTGTTTTTTTTGCATTGTAGGAATGGTGTTAAATGTGTCCCCACTATATGTGTGAATGTTGCCCTACGAAGCTGAAATTTGGACCGAAGCAATTTTCTCTAAATATATTTACTTTGTGTGGTTTGTGGAAAACTACAAACTCTGGCTACAATCTCTGGCTTTATTAAAAAAAAGAAAAAATGGCTTTATTCTAGCTAGAATGCAAAAATTGATCTAAAATTAAGTAAAACTTGCATCCACCCTTAATCTAGGCAGGAAAAATAGACAAT